AAAAAAAAAAAAACTGATTGGCCCAGTAGCTCAAGCTTCTTATTAATTAATTCTTATAACTTATATCAGCTCATAATTCTTGTCTATGTTAGCCACATCTCTTGGTACCTTATTCGGCCGAGATAAGTCACATCTTGCTTTCTCTGCGTCTGGGTCACAACTGCAGACTAAAATTTTCCTCTTCCCATGATTCTCACTGTCATGCCTCTATTTCCTGCTTGGTTGCTGTCACCCTGCTTATACTTCCTGCCTGGCTACTGTATTAAAAATAATACAAGTGACAGGATAAAAGACCGTTGCCCCACAGCACCCCCCCTTTTCTTTTTTAAAAAAAAAAAAACCAACAATTCTGAATCTGATATCCTTTGTTTAACTTTTCTCCTGACCATTATCTATAACAACTTGTAACCAACATTCTAAACAAAGGAAAATATCCATAGTACATTTTTTAGGAATGTGGGCGTAGTTTTCCAGGCTACTTCCTGCTGGTTAGGGGCACTGATAGTCTTATGGGTACCTAAAGAAAATTTAGAATTATGATCAAGTCCTGACTGGAGTATCTTGAGAGGCTTGATCATCTCAGGCAATAGTCTTGAATCTGTTCTGGATGTAGAACTCAGACATCTGGGCCATCTGTTCCTATTAGATATTTCTCAATGGGTTGGGAAGAAATTCTTATTTATTTATTTATTTATTTATTTATTTATTTATTTATTTAAGATTTCTGTCTCTTCCCCACTGCTGCCTCCCCTTTCCCTCCCCATCCCCCAATCAAGTCCCCCTCCTTCGTCAGCCCAAAGAGCAATCAGGGTTCCCTGCCCTGTGGGAAGTCCAAGGACCACCCACCTCCATCCAGGTCTAGTAAGGTGAGCATCCAAACTGCCTAGGCTCCCACAAAACCAATAGGTGCAGTAGGATCAAAAACCCATTGCCATTGTTCTTGAGGTCTCAGTAGTCCTCATTGTCCACTATGTTCAGCGAGACCGGTTTTAACCCAGGCTTTTCCAGACCCTGGCCAGCTGGCCTTGGTGAGTTCCCGATAGAACATCCCCATTGTCTCAGTGTGTGGGTGCACCCCTCGCGGTCCTGAGTTCCTTGCTCGTGCTCTCTCTCCTTCTGCTCCTGATTTGGACCTTGAGATTTCAGTCCGGTGCTCCAATGTGGGTCTCTGTCTCTGTCTCCTTTCATCGCCTGATGAAGGTTAATATTCAGGAGGATGCCTATATGTTTTTCTTTGGGTTCTCCTTCTTATTTAGCTTCTCTAAGAACCCGAATTATAGGCTCAATGTCCTTTATTTATGGCTAGAAACCAAATATGAGTGAGTACATCCCATGTTCCTCTTTTTGGATCTGGCTTACCTCACTCAGGATGGTGTTTTCTATTTCCATCTATTTGCCTGCAAACTTCCCTTGTTTTTTACTGCTGAGTAGTACTCTAATATGTATATATTCCATACTTTCTTCATCCATTCTTCAAATGAAGGGCATCTAGGTTGTTTCCAGGTTCTGGCTATTACAAACAATGCTGCTATGAACATAGTACAGCATATACTCTTAATCTTAACTTTTGAACAAAAGTTTAGATTTTTTGTTGTTGTGTTTTGAAAGGAGAGCATCATTTTTGCCCTAAGTGGTAAAGTATTATTTCTTTTTTATTTTATTTTATTTTATTTTTTTAAGAGTCCAGTCTCCATCTATAGCATCGGTGTTATGAATTGTTTGGGTTGGTCAAGTTTGGAGTTCTCTTTTGATACTCCA